TTTTATTTTATTCTAAATTATATCACGTTTAAAATTGTACCACCTTATCTTTTTCATTTAGCCATATTAAATTAATTTAATTGTATAATTTTAGTTCTTCAAATTTTAATATTGAAGTTTCGTATATTCGAAGTTCGAAATTTTCGAAGCAATTAACCATCAATTCTATTTGAAATCCTCCAAAATTGCACTTAAAAATAAAAAAATAAATATATATTAGAGTGAAGAAGAGAGAGAAAACAAAGATTCTGAGTGCAAAAAATGTAAGCAACACAAACAGACCTACTTTCTGATTGAACGTTAGTAGAACGATGTTTGTTTTATAAATTTGTTTCATCAAAGTCAGGAAAGAGAGGATGGTCTATTCTTTTATCTCGAATACGATTTATCTTGGGCACACCGTTCCCATACTCTTTATTCATGACGTTCTTTCACAAGTTTCGCGTATACGTGCATCAACGCGATTATTTCTCTATTCACCGACTTTCTTCGACCTCGGGGATGGAGTGCCTCGGTGGTGTCTCCCTGGGCTCTGCCGTATCTCTCATATCACGAATATCCCGGAACGATAGGGGTTGGGAGGATGAGCGAAGGATGCTTTAGGTGAGCGAGGGATGCTTTAGGTGAGCGCGGGGCATACAGTAAGGGCTATCCTAGTTTTACTGCATATTGAAGCCGTAACCCGCGCATTACCAGGGCCTTTTAATGGAAGTTCGCCAAGTGGGAAAACGGAGAGGCGCGAGATGTATATTTCAACGCACGAGTAAGTACCCGCGCTTCCATTTTCGTAGTTTCTGCAGTTTCCTCCTCCACACCTTCTTCTCTTCCATCTTCTCTTTCTCTTCCTCTCTTTGACGGGTAGTTCATTTAATCGCAATAATGCTCCGCGGTGTCAAAGTTTATACTATCCGTTAGGAGTCGACTCATCGACTACTCGCTTGATTCTGATACCCCGACTATCACTTGCTATTATCGCACGATATAGATAGAATGAAATGAAAACTCGTTTCCTAGTGAAATTACGACATCGTAATTAATCGATGTCACCGAGCGAGAGAGGCCGTTTCAATCTGCATTGCTGTAAAAGATTTTATGTGAGCAGTGATGTGAAATTTTTTTCTATCAATTTTTTAATCTTTAGAAAGAAATTGGTTCACGTGGAGTTCTTTTTCATTCAAAATATTTGCAGAATTATTTTTATATATTTAAATCTTAAAAGATATTTTAGAAATAATTTAAACGTAAAAATAAAATAGTAGAGCAATTAAATAAAAAAATTTTTTATCGATTGATATGTTCGAATATTTATTTTAAGAATTTATAAACGAAAGATATAATTTTTGAGATAACGAGAGTGATTCTCTTTCTGATATCTTCTTCTTTCTCTAAAAATTTTAAAAAGAAAAAGAAGTATTCTACTTTTTCATCGTGAAACAATTTATTTATCTGAAAAAATTGAGTGTTTTTAAAAGAATATCGACAAATATGCCGCTAAAATAGAGAATTCGATATATTTTACCGGAAGTCGAAAATGATGGACACTGACGCGATACTGTTAAAGATGATTTTGTGAAAGTTACCTAAAGAGCATTATTTGTGATCGAAAATAGTTCGAAATTTGCGATTTCTATGAGAATAGTACAAATTATTGAAATTATATTCGTCGCTTACTATTCGTGCTAAATCAGTAATTAAGGAGCGGTTTTTGTAAATCAAAGAGATAAATCACACACAAATTGCACATAATCTGACGCAAGCTTTAAACGTCTTGAAATCGTTAAAAAATGTTTTAAAATTTTGAAGAACATCTGAGACAAAATTTTAACAAAACTGTTACATTATTGACATAAAGTGATTATCATCCCTTTCTAATATAAATTATCGCGGAAAACGACGGATTATTATCGCATAGATCTGCACATTGTTTTATAGTTTCGTGTAGCATTATATGTAAAAAACAAATTTCCTCTCTTAAAAATAATTCGGTCTGTTAATAAGAAACAATAAGTCTCTTTTTTTTCCTTAAGCTAACTCTAACCTAACCTAACCTAACCTAACCTAACCTAACCCCAACCTAACCTAACCCCGACCTAACCCGACCTAACCTAACCTAACCTAACCTAACCCCGACCTAACCTAACCTAACCTAACCTAACCTAACCTAACCGAACCTAACCTAACCTAACCCCGACCTTACCCAACTTAACCTAACCTAACCCCGACCTAACCTAACCTAACCTAATCTGACCTGACCTAACCCAACCTCACCTAACCTAACCTAACCTAATCTAGCCCTAGCCTAGCCCTTATGTAACCTAACCCTAACGTAACGTAACCTAACCTAACTTAACCCTAACTGAAGAATGTTTCTGATGTACACTGCAGCATTGATATAATAAATTCAAATGAAATATAGTTTGTATGAGCAGAGAGAAACCTGAGAGAGAACATGAGAGTTTTTTCCTGTAATCTCAAATTGCCCTGCATACTACTGTTCTCTGAGGTAGTGGATGCAAACTACACAATATCTATCTATCTTTTTTACTATGCTTCTGTTAGAGTTGATACCCGAGAAACCTTTGTTCCCATACTTAAAAAGAAATTACAATAATGTATTTTATTGTTATTAAATATATTCCTTCGTAACCACTATTCCATAATGAAATTCCATCCATTTATTTTTAAAGAAATGATTTTTAGTGATGTATGGCAGAACATATTTTCTCTTGGATTTTAATGTTTTATGAAAGATGCGATAAAAGTGGTAATTATAATTGGCACACTACCAAAATTATTATTATCGTAAGTATTCTGAAAGACTCTCACTTTCTCTAACAAGATCTGATATTTGACAGATTGCTTAATTTTTCTTTGTAAATGGATCTTGTGAATTTGACATAAAATCAGAATATATTAAGTGTGTATTCACTCTCCAATATGAAGATTATTTTTCTTTGTTTCGGATACTAACCAGCGTATCACAAGGCGGAGGGATATAATGAATTTATTGAGATACTTATTTTGAACGCGTTGAAAGTACTGTTATAAATATATTAATGATTTTTTGTAGTAATTACTTTAAATATCGTTAAGTTTTATAATCGCAAGTTAATAATTAATGGTAAATACGATCTAATTGTTGTTAATATTTCATTCAGCTTTTCTCAATATTTCATTAAATATTGGTTTAAAAAAATTTGTGTTATGATATATATTTTCGACGTTTTTGTATAATCCTGCATTACTAAATTTTTTTAATTATGTTGCTCCTATAATATAATTTTTATTATATTTCGAATAACATTTATAATTGTATATTGTATTATAAACAATTATTATTGTATTATTGAATGTAAAAAGGATTACAATAAAACATAATATTAAAAAAGTTATGCAATATGATTACTAATTATTTTATCATTTCGTATAATTGTAATGCAATATAATTAGCAAAAAATACAATAAAATAATTAAACATAAAAATAAAAAATAAATTAAAAATATATTTATCTGTAAAAACAGACTACTATATTTATTAGCCCGTTTTTTTACGGATAAATATTATACTTACAAAGAAAAGAGGACCGCCGTTAAAAAATTGACGGGATTCGTGGAGGACCTCTAGTTCATTTTTGCTAAATTAAACCTTAAATTAACGATATAGATTGGAAAAGTTTGAAGTGTGTTCAAAGTTTGTATAATTTGCTAGTAATTATAGAGACTTTGGAACATACTTACATACTAGTAATTATGTTTGGTAAAAATGGGCTGAAAATCTGCATTAAAGAAACATAATTGCTAATACAGCTGATTGGTTTATCTTAAGATTGTACTTAAGACGATCTTAAATATAACATCTGACTATCCAACTATTAATACAGGCAGAGAGAAATTTGAATCTCTATTAGTTTGATAGATTTTAGTTATTTCAGAGATTTCATTTAAATTTCCATCAGGAGTACAATAACAAATTATATTAATATTGTAGTTTATATACACTTCTTCAGAGGGCAGTAGGACGCGGCGGCATTTTGCGGTTATAGGAAAAAGATCTTCACGTCCTCTCTCAGGTTTCTCTCTAGTATTAGTGTAATCAGTTCAGAATGTTTTTCAAAAAAGAACAACTCTCATAATTTAAAATAAAAAATGATGAAGTGAGTTTCGCGCGATTGGTCTGTTTGCTTGTTTGTCTCTTGATTCTGATCTGTTTCTTTATTGCAGATTGGAAGAATCTCTTTGCGCATGCGTGAATATGTGATGAACTTTAACAGACTCGTGCTAAGATGCTACGCGGAACATTTCCTGGAGCTCATGAATGACTAATATTGTGTATTAGACTTGCATTAATAATACGTTTAAATGTATATTAAGTGCTGTATCCTAAATATTGCATTATGATATTATACGTATAAGTAGCAATATTCAGCAAAGAAATTTATTAATTGCACAATTAAGACTACTACTAGCAAATTTTATATTATTTATTTGATTATTTTGTTGCAAATAATTTTTACCTTTTTTCTCCATTCTTGTTTTTCTTCTGTCCTGAAGTAATATTAATAATTACAATTCTAATACTTTAATAATAATCTTTTTACAATTATATATGTATAATATACTTTTATAATTATATATGTATTGTATAAAGATCACTGATATATGTAAAACAAAATGTTTCTGTATTTAATTACAGTTAGTAAATTTTATATTTTAACGCGATTATATTTTTGTCATATTAATAATTAGAATTTCACTACGGAAATATTCAGCAATATATTCTATTTGATGATTTACAAGATTAATAATATATTCTTCCTTATACTAAATATATACTTTCTATATTTAATTTATATACTTATACTTAACATTTTTACTCCTTTTCCACGAGGGTTCTCACGCATCCTTCATTATAGGAAACAGTATACGTAACTGACGGAACGAGACGGAAACTGCGCACGGAACTCACGCATGCGCGAGATTCGTTTCTCCATGATGACGTTGTTCCGGTTTTATCGAAAGACTTGCAAATAGCGGTTATATTGCAGCACATCGTCAGGGAAGCCGTTGGAGAGAACGGCCATTTCGTGAGGAAGTAATCGATCCGTTTGGGATCACGCCAGGTCGTCAAGATGACTGCTATACCCGGAACAGTGGCGTTTGATGAGTACGGCCGGCCCTTCATTATTATTCGCAACCAGGAGAAACAGCAACGCCTTACCGGTCATGATGCGATCAAGGTGAGATGGCGACGGTAAACCTCGCATTCGCATTTCTCCGTCTCGTTTCCTGTGTCAATTCATAAGTCTCTCTTGCGGATGACATGTACGTAATCGTTGTTTCCTCGACGCATCGCCGAGGATTTTATGATTCCTCCGGACCACACTCGAGAAATGCGCGAGAGACGCTCGATCACGTGTGAACAGTAATGGCGATGTTTTAAGATTTGGAAATGAATAAAGTGAAATATTCATGCATGGAGCGTACAAAAGCGATTTTTCTCTCTCGTTTATCTAGATTTTGACTTATAACTTAAGAATGGTGGATGAGCTCCAAATTAATATATGTCAATTAATGTTTCTCTTTAAGAGACCTTGGAGTCTTTGTGACCATATAAGGTGATCCATAGTTTGTAGATATTTCGAGAGAGCTACGAAATTATAAACCCACAATTTATTCCATGAGAGATATATGTGTAAATTTTTAAGATTTTTTTTATTTTAAATCCGAAGAGAACGTGTAATTTTAATTATTTAAATGATTTAATTTTAATATTTAAATTATGAAATTAATTTGTTAAATAAAAAATTGACGTGTAATGATGAATTGGAGCTTTAAATAGCTTTAAATATTAAAAGGAAATATTGAAATTCTTTGATTATAGTCACATATTCTAGCAGCACGCAATGTTGCTAACATTCTTAGAACATCCTTGGGACCTAAGGGACTGGATAAGTTGATGGTGAATTCAGATGGAGATGTTACTGTAACTAATGACGGTGCAACTATTTTGAAGAATATGGATGTAGAACATGAAATTGCCAAGTTGATGGTCCAATTGTCAAACTCTCAAGATGATGAGATTGGTGATGGCACTACTGGAGTAGTTGTATTAGCCGGTGCACTTCTAGAACAAGCTGAACAGTTGCTAGACAAGGGAATTCATCCAATCAGAATCGCTGACGGTTTTGAATTAGCAGCCAAATGTTCGACTGAGCATCTCAAGACAATAACAGAAGATTTCAAGGGAACTCCAGAGAATTTGGAGCCTTACATTGACATAGCTATGACCTCATTAGGCTCAAAAATGTAATGAAGTACTTTTATTGTTTATAAAATTTTTATTTGTAATTTTTTTTTATTCATACAATTTTCTTATGTATTGCAGCATTAACAAGCATCATAGACAGATGGCAGAAATAGCTGTTCAAGCTGTATTGGCAGTTATGGATCCTGTTACTCGCGATGTTAATTTTGAGCTAATCAAAATAGAAGGAAAAGTCGGTGGTAGATTGGAAGATACTGTTTTAGTACGCGGAGTGGTTGTCGACAAGGACTTTAGTCATCCACAAATGCCTAAAGTAAATTTTCGAAAAATATTTCATGTTGGACTTTATAATTAATAAGTTATATATTTAATGTCTATATAATGTTATAGAGGTTAGAAGACGTCAAATTAGCCATCTTGACTTGTCCATTTGAACCACCAAAACCCAAAACAAAACATAAGTTGGATGTCACATCAGTCGACGATTATAGAGCCTTGCGCGATTACGAGCGTGAAAAGTTTACGGAAATGGTGAAGCAAGTTAAAGATGCTGGTACAACCCTGGCTATTTGTCAGTGGGGCTTTGATGATGAAGCCAACCATCTCCTGTTGCAAAATAATTTGCCTGCAGTTAGATGGGTTGGTGGTCCAGAGATTGAAGTAAGTAATATCTTTCATAGTTCCATTTGTTTTTAATTTCTTAATTATTTTCATAGCAATGTGTTTTAATGATGAGAAAAGAGCGCTAGAGGAGGTGCGAAAGTTTGGGGAACTGGCTCTTAGTTTTGAAAGTATTTGTATTTTCTTGTAAATTAATGTTATATTAACTTTCGAGAAAAATAAAAAGCTTTCAAAATCGGGTAGTTGGTGATCTGGCTCTCGTGGTGGCTCCAATGATCCAAAGATTATGAGACCTGAAATAATAGCAATCTTTTTGTTGTGTTGTGCGTTTTGTATGTTAAATACTTAAGGAAATCAAATCTTCTTTTCAGCTAATTGCCATTGCAACCGGTGGACGCATTGTACCTCGCTTCGAGGAATTGACGCCGGAAAAACTTGGTCATGCTGGTGTTGTCAGGGAATTAACGTTTGGCACAACAAAGGATCGAATGTTAGTTATCGAAGAATGCAAGAACTCTCGCGCTGTGACGATCTTCATTCGCGGCGGCAACAAAATGGTATGCACGAGTGATTGAATGTGATTAATTGGAACTATAAATAAGAACCAATGTTCAATTACTAATTGCTTTGTCAACTTGAACACATCTAATAATTTCTATGCAAGGAGAATTTCAGTAGTACTCTATCCAATGTACAACTGACCAGACACCTTGCAATAGTAGTGCATTGCAATTATACAAACTATTCAATACTCTATATTAATTGAATTTATTTTTTTGTGATGCAACACTTATTTATGTCATTTACATAATTCTTAGAATTTGTAATAAATATGATATTACTTTCATGTGTTTATAGATTATCGAAGAAGCGAAACGATCAATACATGATGCATTGTGCACTGTACGCAACGTAGTAAAAGATAACAGGATACTTTACGGTGGAGGCGCGGCGGAAATATCTTGTGCGCTGGCATGCATGGCACAAGCTGATAAAATTGGCACTTTAGAACAATATGCCTTCCGTGCTTTTGCTGAAGCTTTGGAGAGCGTTCCAATGGCGCTTGCGGAAAATTCAGGCCTTTCTCCGGTAGATACTATAGCGGAGATTAAAGCGCGTCAATTATCTGACAACAATCCCGCTCTTGGAATCGATTGTTTAAATCGAGGCACACCGAGTACGTATTGATCTGCATACATATTGTATACTTTTTTACATATATATTGTGTGTGTGTGTGTGTGTGTGTGTGTGTATATATGTGTGTATGTATGTATATAATCACGAAATTATCACAGATTTATTACAGATATGAAGAAACAGAATGTCATCGAAACGCTGACGAGCAAGACACAACAAATTTTGTTGGCTACTCAGCTCGTGAAGATGATACTGAAAATTGACGATATACGCTCGCCACATGACAACGGTGAAAGCTAAAAATTTTGTTTGATCAATTGAAAATTATTTATAAATTATAGTAAGGTAACCTGAAATAATTTTCAATTCATTATTTTTTACTTGTACACCAATGTGGTAATACAATTATTGAGCGATACCCAATTTACAGGCACTATATTTCCTCCTATATTTCCTATATTTACTCTTGTACATTAGAATTTTTCACGTAGAATACAGTTATTGAATCAAGAAGTAATGCAGTTTTGATATGACATTTATCGATTTTGGTTTCTTCTTGATTATGGATTTCTGATCTCTTAAATCGTAATATGTATCACGATTTATATATTGCCTTAATGTTGTCTTAGACTATTTTTGGAATACTCTTTTCTATCACAATAAATATAATATTCTTCTTTTATATTCTATATGTGAGATGACAGGACCGGGAATCGAACCCGGGACTTTTAAATTGAATAAGCGATTGCTTTACCACTATCCAGCACCTCGACTTTATTTTCAATATTTTCACTGTAGGAACAAATAAATATGTCACATCGAGTCAAGGTGTAAGTGTGTAAATATATTCTGTCTATAACATCTTTAGGGAAGGGATATTTTCTCGCTTTTCAGACATTATTCTGTGGAATGCGTTTGTAATGCGCGAAACAATGGCAGACCGAACGAAATAACAAACGAATATTGATACGATCTACTTGTAAAATGGCACAAAATACAATCGCATATACAATGTATAAATTAGAATACAACAACAATTATATACCACTGTTTCTTTCGGTCGCCTTATTGTATTTTCTTCTCATTCGTCATATCAGTCCATCATCGGACTCACAATTTTATAATAACTCTTTCTTTCTCCTTTTCGTATCACAAAATATACAATCTATTTCCAACATATTATATCTTTTCTCTCTCGCACGTCTCCTTTTTATATATTAATTACAATCTTTAACAAGTTTTCAACTTTATCGTACATTCGAAATTCTCACAAGGATCAAGTATACAAAAGAATTGCGCCATTATTACTTAACTTTCGTTACGCATAATTCCCGAATTTAATTAACTTAAATTTTCAGAAATTCATTTTTAATTTTTATTTGAAAAGAAATGAACGCGAGACATACATCCTCTTATATTTCAAGGAAGAACGAATTTACAAAAGAAATTTATCTTTGAGAATATTATTTATCTTTAACGTAAATAATATTGATCAATAAAATCTAAAATCCTTATAAAAACTTCGTACTCGTGCCTTCCTTTATTTCGACAACACTATACAATAACAATAATGAAAAATATCGCTCTTTCTCGTTACCGATCGTTTATCTATACAACAGAATTGACTTCGAACGCGAATACGATTCGGAATGTGACGACATATCGTAAAATCTACAAATTACACGAGTAAAAAAGAAACATATAAAACGTGATATCGATGAGCCACTCTCGATGCGTAATACTACACATAACGTCTATACATAGCCGGATTATCGGTATCACTAACTTCTTGTATGAATAAATGGACTAAGCGAGTTTCGGTTATTCGCGCATAACGTTTTCAATTCAACTAAAGACACACAATATAGTACCGTAGTACGGGGATCTTGACCAGGATCATGCCTAGAGAGAGCTTGCGTTACACCTTCTTGAGCATGGGCAAGTGAAGCACCTCGGGTACTTCGATATCTTCGAGTCGAATGTCTGACGGATTGAATGAGAATCTTACGGGATAGGAGTACTTTAGATCCATTAACAGCTGAAAAGAAATCATTATCACGTATTAGAAAAAAATTTGTTTGGATTCGCTGCAAACGCGAGTTTCTTTTAAATATTCATCTTGCCGAATAATTAGATCTGTTTTCTTTATTCCTCACTAGACTACACTAAAATTTTCTTGCTTTCCTCAAATATCAAACATATATATATTTCAAGTTCCAGAAGTGTATTTAGCTGTAGGAAACAGATCTGTTGATAATTTCCAATCGGCTTATGATGAAAACTTACTTGTTCGTTGTTCTCGCCGCGCTCTTTCAGTTTTTCTTGTACTTTCTTAATGAACGAAACAGGAACTCGACTTTCGTAATCATCGACAGGTGTATATAGATTCAGAATTTTCACTATTTGATTGGCCGTCAGTTTGTGACACATCTCGCAAACAGAATTAACGTCCTCGTCTGTCTTGCGAGCCTGTAGAAGCTGTGACGCCTGTATGATGGGATGTAGAGCTTCCGATGCGATTTCTAGTCGTCGGTCCCTGCCCCATTGCTCCAAATGACTCATGTTATACCTTAAGTATTAAATGAAATATTGTATAATATAATTCCTATAAATATATTCAATATTATTAGGCGAGTAATAACGCATAAAATTAAAAAATGAATAATTATGAAGTCAGGCCTTGATTTAGAAGAATTGATAAAGAAGAAAAATTTACAGAAGTCTACAAATATTGATCAATTTAATACTGACACATTTATTATTGAAAGACAGTAATCAATTACTTATTTAGAATACTTAAGGCACTGAATAACAGTGTCTTCAAAATAAGTAATTAACTACTATCGTATTAATTAAATTGGCCTGCAGTAATAGATTTCTATAAAAGGTTTTCCTTTATAATTTACTGTATTTTCTATAAAGCAATTATTCGTGTTGGATTTCTATAGTTATACGCGATTTTTAAGGAGCCAAAAAATGACTCCATTTGGTGATTAAGAGAAGTCACCAGCACCGTTCAGATTCGGCACATACAAAAATGTAAGGCAGTCAGAAGTAATCAGCGAATTGGCTAATCACGGTAAAAAAACCGTAAGGCCAGCGAATCCAATATTACGATTTCGTTATTGCTTACGTCTAGCTGCCTTATGTTTTTGTATGTGTGATGGGCTAAATAAAGCAATCATTATTAAAAGTGAAAAAGAAGCGAGTCTCTGCTCTCCGAAAAGGTTCTAAAGCTTGATACATATAACATTCTAGCACTATGATCTCCAACAGAGAGATCGGAAAGCCAAGGGGATAATATAATATAACTGCAAAATTGAGGACTAATGGTACGATTTATCTTACCTTATCTGCATACCCTTCGTCCATCGGCAGAGTTCGCTCCTCAGCAGTAGGTTGTTCAGAGCGCTGGCACACATGAAGTAAAATAATTGTTTAAATAGTTGCATTACGACCTCGGGGTCAACGCCGTGATACTGCAGGGTTTTATGCACCGATGTCAGTTCACCCAGAAGCTTGTCTAGTTTCTGCTGCGTGGAATCTGGCTCACCGCCCATGGACGATGACCTGGGTCGTCCGGTCTTGTCGGTCGGAACAGATATCGCCTCGTGCTCCAGCAAAGCTGGTACTGTGAGGGCCTGAATTCTCTCCTTGAGATTCGTAATGAGATTGTTGAAGATCCAGAGGGCCACGTTGCTCAATACGACGCGGTACTCGCTCAGGTCAAAGTTCCTCAGGCACTGCTCGTTCTGCCTAGGCGTGTTCTCGATTTGGAATGGCTTATCGCCAGAATATTGCTTCATGTTGTGCAACAAACGCAGGGTGTTGCTTAGCCAGAGCACCCTGGAGTCGAAATCATCGCGTTTCTTCAACACGCGTTTAACGGCATTCAGGTACTCGGTTAATAGCGACCGCACTTTTTCGTCATCATTGATGCAGTCAGTGTGCCTAATGCACATGAAGATGATGTAGGCCGGCAAGCCCGGTAACAACGTCACCGCTATTCGGGGTCTTAGCTCTGAAAGAGGCGGAAATATTAGATAAATTTGTGAATTCAAAAGTCGTATGTATAATGGGAATAGAAAAAAATAATCGAATAATCTTCGTTAGAGAATTTATTAAGCGAGAAGTAACATCGATACTTACCAATGACCAAATGGCGTATGATTACGTTGATATCCTCCTTCCTAAATTCGAACATTCCTTCATAATCTCTCTCCTTTTTGCGAATGATAGGCATGTTACTTCCATCTCCGTGAACACCAGAAGCGGCGACGCAGCCGTTCGCGTATTCCACTGCATTAGACACTGTAAAATTAAGACGTTTGTATTGACATATTCTCGAAGTTTTCAGGAAACTGCGTTTGACACACTGTGCAAGTAATGATGAATTATGATTTGTGTGATCGAATTGTTCGAATTATTTATATGGATATATATGTAATCTGTATAGTTTATTATATTTTTCATAAAATTTTGAATTTTTAACTTACATAAAATGGAGTAACTTTTGTCTAGTCGGGATAGCATTGATTCAAATTTTTAAAAATATCTAAACAGCACATATATTTCAAAATCAAGATAAAATTAAGTAAGGCGACTTAAAATGTTATTAAGATTGGACATTATCAAAATTTGGGCCAAATACATACCTCGATTTTGAAACAAGTTACTCCACTTTACAGCAACTATCTATTTTACAAAATGATTTCTATTTTTTTCTTTCTATCGAAAAGCTTACTGTCTTTTATTTGCACAAATTATTCGAATAATTTAATTGAAATAATGACTATAATGATGACTGTCATGATCACGCACTCACCGCCTCTTATATAAGGACGTTCCTCCCCTTCGTCTTTGATAGCATTAAGAAATAAAATAATTTACGATAATGTATGCATAATGTAATTCTAATTGCACAACAACAAAGTTTCTAAATATTTCTGTTCACAGTATGTATATAATTATTTATTATACTTACATCCAGCATCTTTAAGTCGTTTCGCCAGGATTCTGCATTGTTTTTTGAAACGTCTGCACTCCTCCGCTACTTTATCGTATTTTTCTTGAAGTTCCTTTAACACAAGTGACAAATATAAATATTAATTTTTATATCTATAAATGAGAAATTAATATCATTTTCTTAAAAATAAGTATACATAGAAAAAGATTTAAAAGCATAACAGAATCGTTTGAAATTGATAATAAATCTTTTTTTAAAAAAAATTATTTTACTTATAATAAACATTTTTGATTTAAAAGAATTATTTTACCAAATTTACCAAATTTACCAAACTTACCAAATTTTCAGACGTCAATCTAGCCACCTCGTATTGCATGTAAAGCTCCGCTTGGGTTTGCGGCGATTTACTTAAATTAATAGAGAGCAATTTTTGCTGCTTCTCGATTTCTTCTTGTAACCTGTCTATTTCATTTCGCCATTCATCTCTTTGCATTCGCCAATTTCTTTCCTTCGCTTGCAGCTCATCTTCCAATTGCCTTAAAAACAAAGGAGTCAACTTTCTCACTTTTTGAAAATTATTTTTAAAAATCTCTTGAATTGTTCAATCATACATTAATTGTTCAATGGAATCATGCTAAACATATGAAATCATGCTATTATAAAAAAATAACTATCGAAATATCGTTGAAGAAACAATGACATACAGCATACAAATTAATGAAATTTAGCATGACTCATAATGTTAGTTTCGCTAATGTAAAAAAAAAACTAATTTGAAATGCTTCAAGACATTTATGATAACGTGAAATTATAAAATCTTTTTTTTCTGATTGAACAGTTCAATAACATTCGAACGGGTGAATCTGCTCGTGAATCTGCTCAACTCACTCTCCTCTCGCTGCCTTTGTCTTAAGTTTACTGAAAATCGAAGTGCATGCACAAACGACAAAAGACTGTTGTTAGACGTTTTTGTGGCACTTTGTCAATAATCACTCGATAGCTAACAATATAT